CCGAGCTGGACCGACCGCGCGCAGCCGACTGCGACGCAGCCGAGCCCACCGAACCGCGAACGCCCTTGGCAGAATCCCCTCCGCCTCCACTCCGCATCGGCGGCAGCCCTCCCGAGGGCAATCGCGCGCGCGCGAGCGTCGCCGCTCAAGCAGGGAGGTGGAGAAGCGCGAAGGGAGGTGGAGAAGCAGGTGCAGGGGCAGGTGGAGGCGGGGGGGGGAATGGGGATGCCGGGGGAGGGGGGGTTAGGGCCCAGCACCGCGCAGGCACCTCCCACAGGGAAGGGCTGGACGACAGTCCCAGCAACAGCAGCCAGACCCCAGAAGCCGTCAAGCACAGTCCTCACAACCACTCCCTGCATGCATGCAGGCGGTGTGCTCGCCGTTATCAAAGCGTGGCACCTGGGTACAAAGAATACACCATGCTTGCGAAGTACCGCAGAGAAGACCATGTGGGAGCAGGGGGTGACGGAGGAAGGAGGGGGAAGGAGAGAGATAGAGGACAGAGGGAGGAGGGGGGGAAGGAGGAGAGCTGGAAGGAGGAAGGAGGAGGGAGGAGGAGGAAGGAGGAGGAAGGAGGTAGAGGTAGAGGAGGAGGAGGAGGAGGAGGAGGAGTAGGAGGAGGAGGAAGGAGGAAAAGGAAGGAGGGCTGCTGGAGAGAGGAAGGGAGGGAGGAAGGGAGGGAGGGAGGGCCTCTCGACTAGGCGTATAAGTCGAGGGGGGGGGGGGGCAGGCGCCAGCTGGGGGTCCAGAGAGATCCCTGAGAGAGCGACGGTCATCCCCCAGATGCTACAGTCAACCCGTATGATAAGGATGCGCGGTAAGGATGCAAGGGCCTTGGAAGGCCATGTTGGCGTTTTCGAGCGGGGCTGGCCAGCGAAAGTCGCCAAGGATGGGACGAAAGGGGAGAAGATCCAAGGGTAACCGTGGAAAGTTGCTCATCCTCACTATGTGGATTGACTGTACGGCCTGAGCTCGATGTTCAAAGACAGCGGTAGCAATAAACCCTTGTCTGGTCTCATCGGTGACCTTTACACAGCTGGCCAATCGCGAAAAGGGATTGATGCCTGCCGCCGTTGCGATCCACATGTGCAGATACGAGCACAAGGTGAACTCCCCTTACGCTGCGACACACTGTCTTCTCAAAGACGACAGACGACATGTTGATGCAAGAGCGAATGCTGGTGTGGCGATCAAGCGAGTTCTCCTCCTGAAAGAATCTCCCCGCTTCGGCCTCCATCCCATCCATCGAGGCATTATTTTACACCTGAACTCACGCCACCTCCTAAAAGGCTGTGCGGGGGAGCACGACTGACTCTAAGCCGCTGCCACGAGCCGCTAAATCAGATGCCACCATCTGCATTGAGGGCAAGCGTAGCGGTCCAAATCGAGCCTGTCACCCGAAGTCGCGCTACAGGGGCGTTGGGAAAAATACTCCAAATGCGCCAGGTGTCACTTAAAGCTATTCGCAGTATTCTTAAGGCTTCTGCCACGCGGCACTGCTTTGGGGCGCCTTCATTGGTGCGGCGATAGTCCCTCCCTGACACCGAATGATCTTAGAATGCCGAGTGCATAAACCAGAAGATAACACACAGCAAAACCATTGTCAGCATTGTTGCAGTCCCCCATAACCGGACACGCGCTTCGACAAACTAGTAACCCAAAGAACAACGCTGGTCCAGCGGTGTCAAAACTCACGCAGGTCGCGGAAAATGACGTTACCTCATAGACCACCCTTCGGGCGATATGGGTGGGAGGTCGTGGGGGATGGATGGAGCTTTTCTGTGTTCCATGATTTCGCGTCGAATGGCCCGACCTACCCATCTAACGATGTGGATATCTGACCAACGGTCCGCACATCTATCCATCTAACTGCCCAACTTGCTCAACCTGTGTCTTCCGAATGTCTACTCCAGATTTCGTAATAAAGGGAGGGGGGTCTCATTTCGGGGGGGGTCTCTTCCAGGCTATCTTGGAGGGCCTGGGGGGGTTTGGGGACGATGTTTTGGAGGCTTCTCCCACGGGGGGGGGGTCTAAAATGGCTTGTCTTGGAGGGTCCAGACCCCCTCCCTTTTATTACGAAATCTGGAGTAACTATCCATCGGTTCGCAGCATCCGCTTGATTCGGGGACGTCCGATTCGTCGGTCTACTGGGCGTCCGAGAGCGCCGCAAGAGGCCCCCCTCATATAGCCCAAAAGAGGTCCTCCTCCTCCTCCTCCTCCTCCCTCCTCCTCCTCCTCCTCCTCCTCCTCCTCCTCCTCCTCCTCCTAAGACGGCCCCCGCAGAAGAGGCCACGGCGTGCGAGATGGCGCTCCGGCCAGGCTGGCGGAGGCTCTAGGTGTCTGACCTCCCCGTGGATGCCTCTGGGACTTCTGGGCGCCTCCTATCTATGATCCCGGGTCGATGGTTCAGGCCCCCCCACCGCCCGAAAGGATGGGTCCCAGGATTCCGCAAGCCCCACCCCCCAGATGGGATAGGGGGTGACGACGACGCGGACGCAAACGCCGACGCCGACGCCATCGCCGCCACTGCCGCCGCCGACGAAAACGACAACGACAACGACAACGACGACGACGACGACGACGACGACGACGACGACGACGACGACGACGACGACGACGACGATGAGGATGACGACGACGACGACGACGACGACGACGACGACGACGACGACGAACCACCTCACACCCACAGGGGGAGGGCGGGGGGTGCACCCGCACCCTCCTTCACCCACGCCACGCCCTCAGGTCCACGACCACAGGCGGTGGGGGGGAACGATCCCACTCGCGAGGCCTTCGCGAGGCTCACGGGCGTACCCATCCAGCGGGGGGGGGGAGGGCTGGATCCCATATGCAGTGGGGGGGGAGGGGGGGGGGGACAAGCTAGGTGCGCTCGCGTCATATCTGACATCCTACCCCTCCTCCCATCCACTTACCTTGGCGTCAGAATTCCCCTCTTTACTCGCTCAGTCGGATGTCGAGCAGGGCAATGATCCCGAAAGGGTACGCGATGCATTGTAGAGCACGGCATGGCATGGCGTAGAAGAGCACCGCAAAGCGTAGTATCAACCTAGCATTGCATTGCATGCCGTGGCATGGCACGGGAAATGACGCCAGCGCTGCAGCAGGAGCACGAGTCGAAACGAGCGGAAGCGCGGAAATGAGGCCAGCGCTGCAGCGGGAGCACGATTCGGAACGAGCGGAAGCACGGAAATGAGGCCAGCGCTGCAGCGGGAGCACGATTCGGAACGAGCGGGGCCCGAAAATGAGGCCGGCGCCTCAGCGAGAGCAGCATTTTGGAAAAAAATGCAAGCGAAAACCCAACTCCGGGGAAACCTGAAAAAAAAACAGTACGCGGGGGGGGTCGGCCACTTTCAAACCGTCATCAGGGGAAGAGGGAGAGTAGTATTCATATTGAGTAATTGTCAACCCTGGACCATGTGTATATATACATACATATCAACATAGATGAATATATATATATATATGTGTATACACAAATATCTGTTCATATCTATATATATATACTAATAATACTAATAATAATAATACTAATAATAATAATAATAACAATAATACGAATAATAATAATAATAATAATAATAATAATAATAATAATAGCAATAATAAGAAGAAGAAGAATGATGATAATTATAATAATAATTGTTATAATAATAATAATAATAATAACAATAACAATAATATCTGAGCACCTCTGCAGAGACCTCCGGGGACCTCGGGGGATCTCGGGGAGCCTCTGAGGACAGGGCTCTGCGCCGCTTCCAGCGGCGCCCGCGCTGGTGCGGTGCGCCCCATGGGCCGAGGTCGGGGCGCAGCCACGGGAGCCCGGGAATCGAGTCAGAGCGGCGGGGATCAGCAGGCCAGGAGTGCCACCCCGTGTCGTAAGGGTGCGCGGTGAGGGTGCAGGGGGCCTCGGAGGGCCACGTTGACGCTCTTCCAGCGAGGTGGGCCAGCGAGGATCGCCGAGGACGGGCCGAGGAGGCGAGGCTGCAAGGTCACCCTTGGGAAGCTTGCCCATCCTTGCTGTGCGGGCTGACTGCCGGGCCTCCATTGAGAAGCCGAGATCGAGATCGGAATCCGAAGCCGAATCGAGCCGGAACCGGAGTCGATCGAAATCAAATCGAATCGAGCAGGAGGAGTCGAAATGAGCCCTGGGTGCAGGGGGGCACCGCGGGTTTCCCCCGGGGGGGTGGGGGCCTGCTGAGGCCAGCCCTCCGAGGGCTGTCTGTGAACCAGGCCAGGCCTTACCGTGGCACCCCGCCCGAGCGACAGGGTCGGAGCCCGCTCTTGGAAGCGCCATCGGGACCGCCGTCGGGAACCTCGAGCCTCCCACAGCAGCGTGCCAGGAGAAGGTTGTCGGTGGAGTTGAACCGTGCTTGATTTGCCTACCGTTTCTCCTCGAAGCTGCCCTCCTCGTCCCTTGGTGGCAATGCAAAAAGCCTAAGGTGTGTCCTAGCAACTCCAGCCTGGGTGCAGGCCCACGTATCGGCAGCAGGGCGTTGCAAAAGGATCGCGGGCCAGCGAAGCTGCACGTAGCCAGTGGCAACATGAGCTCCATGTCCAGATCAGCGGTGCGCTTACATTCGCAGCACTGCCTGACAAGTAATCTCAGCCTCTTCCCGCAGTCCCCCTGTGTTACAAAAGACTCGCGGTCTAGGAAAAGCGGCACGTGGCCAGTTGCAACATGATCCCACTGTACAGGCTCATGTCAGCGGTGCAATATCAGATGCAGCACTGACTACAACAGGATCCAGTCCCCTCCCCGCAGTCCCACAATGTCCAACTGTTCCATGCGCCCCCCAGTATTCCACGGGTATTGAGGGAATCTAGCTGGGCATGCCCGCATGAAGAACGCGAACTCCAACAGGCGCGAAAGATGCATGGACACGCGAGTAATTGATTGATAACACGGCTCCCAGAGCAGCCAGCAACTCCTGTTGCGAGCAGCTAAGACCTATAAACGATCTGCGTCTGCTGGGGTGCTACCTGCGCTGGGATCTGGGAGTACGACATGCACAGGGCATAGCTGTCGACGTCCTGAAACGGGAGGGGCCAATGTCAGGAGCAAATATACCCAACTTCTCAAATCGGCGGCGAGCGAGGGGAGGAAATGAAAAGGAGAAGGCCTTCTCGGAAGGCGGCTGGACTTCTCAGAAGCCCTCGCGCCTTCTGAGAAGTTTTTGTGTCTTCGGGCAAGGCTTCGAAAACTTCTCAGAAGCCTGGGGGACTTCCGAGCCTTCTGAGAAGGCCCGCCCCCTCACTTCCCCGGGCTCGACGCCGATCGAACTCATCACCGTCGTCAACGCTCCGCCCCACTGCTCCACCTCACCCCCATCTCCACACAATGAGTCCTTGTGGTTTTTAGCAGTCGTTGGGCTGTTCATCCTCCTCCTCCTCCTCCTGGCAAGACTGAAGAGTTCTTCCCACAAGCACGGGCAACCAATGCGTAACGCCTTGCGCAAGCCATATCCTGGACGGCCAGACCTGCTTGCCCAGCCACGCAGCCTGTAGCCCAAAAGGAGGAAAGAGAGGCAGAGAGGAGCTCCTCGGCTTTCTCCCTCCTCCTCCTCCTTTCTTCCCTCCCTGCCCTCCTTCCTCGGAAGGAGAAAACAAGGCATGAGCATAAACTTCTGGCGCTCTGCGCGGACTCCTTGGATCTGCACTGGACCCCCCCCGGTCCGGGGCCGGTCGGCTGTAGCGCCCGACGCCAGAGCCGGGGGCGCCCCCCGGAGGTCCAGCGCATCGAAAAGATCGTCGACCTTTTCGATGCGCTGGATCTCTGGATTCTGGAGACCCCCGGGGTCCTGGAGGCCCCCGGGACATCGGGAGGAGGGAGAAGCGGCCTCCGCATCGCAGAATGCTTGCGAAGATCAGCATGTGATTTCGTTTCTGCCCCCCCCCCCCCCCGCCTCAGACACCGAGGTCTGATCGGGGCGGAGGTGTTTCGCAAAGCTCGGCCCCGTAATAGGGGGGCCCTCGCCGGGCCTCGAGGCCATTCGAAAACGCCTCGGGACGAGAAAACAGTCCTGGGGCACGGGTCGAGACGAGGAGGAGGAGGAGGAGGAGGAGGAGGAGGAGGAGGAGGAGGAGGAGGAGGAGGAGGAGAGGCGGAGGAGGAGGTGGAGGAGGAGGAGGAGGAGGATGAGGATGAGGATGACGAGGAGGAGGAGGAGGAGGAGGAGGAGGAGGAGGAGGAGGAGGGGGAGGAGGGGGAGGAGGGGGAGGAGGAGGAGGAGGAGGATGAGGAGGGGAGGAGGAGGAGGAGGGGGAGGAGGAGGTGGGGGCAAGGAGGATGAGGAGGAGGGGGAGGGGGAGGAGGAGGAGGATGAGGAGGAGTGGAGGAGGAGGAGGAGGGGGAGGAGGAGGAGGAGCGAGGATGGAGGGGGGACCCGCAGCGAAAAGTCACGACAATCAGGCTCTCGGTTTGCCCGCCGAGGGCCCCCCCACCCCCCACAGGGAGGGGGGCTGCCGGCGGGCTCGCGCTCCCTCCGCAGCCTCCCGCGGCGGCTCGTTGGCCGCGGCAGCGCGGCGCTGTGCGGCGCACATCGGGCGCGCACGCCCTGCGAGGCTGCGCGCCGCATCGACAGCCCTCCCCCCTGCTTGGACCCTCCCCTGCTTGACTTGCCCCCCCCCCCCAGCTCGACCTGAGCAGTGTTTCTCGTGTTTGGGTCATGTCTTCGTGCTCCCTCGTTCCGTCTTCCGCCCGCCCTTGCTGCAGAACGAAGTCGAAACGATAACGGCCCACGAAATCGCAAAAGTACCGTTTGGGTCGACCCTTGGTTCCTCCTCCGACCTGCACCGTCAGATGCCACGGCCGCAAACATTCCAGGACGAAGGACTGGTCCCCGGGAAAGGGGTGGAGAGGTCCGTGGAAGGGCACATGTTGAAGTTGAGGGACCCACGAACCTGGTAAGGAAGTGAAGTCATACTCTGCCTTGACGTGTCTGCTAGACGCTGGTTGGCCAAACTATTGTATAGATGTTATGGTGTGCTGTGTGCTTTCTTACTCTGTGCAAAGCGTTCCATGCGGTTCTGAACACTTCGTCACGATGCTCGTCATCGTCATGGTCATCATCACTGCCATCGGGCCTCGCTACGCCAAATTCATACAAAGTACACTCTCCGCCCCAACACTGTACGTTGCAGCTCGTGCCAATAGCAAATAAAATGCCCACTGGTGCTACTTGGGGTAGAAGCCAGTGTGAACTTGTTCTTTGCGCTGGGGACGGGGGAAGGAGGAGGTGGGGCGTGGGCGGGAAGGAGAAGGAGGAGGAGGAGGAGGAGGAGGAGGAGGAGGAGGAGGAGCCAGCAGCAAGAACAGTAGCAACAGCAGCTCGAGGAGGAAGTGGCAACAGCAAACTCCTCATCCTTCTCCTGCTCATGCTCTTCCTCTCCCTTCCCACCGCTCTCCCTCCCCCT